TTCGGTGTGTTATGGCACATGATCGCTGCCTTGAAGGTGCGGTGCCAACGCTCAATCATGCCGTTAGCGGCGGGGTGATAAGCTGTTGTACGAATGCGTCTGCATCCGATAAGCTTAAGAAGAGCTGCAAAGAGCTGTGCCTCGAATTGTTGACCTTGATCGGTCGTCAAAATACTAGGTGCACCGAAACGACCGACCCAATTATCGAAGAAGGCTCTGGCTACTGTCCTGGCCGTAATATCTATCAATGGAATCGCTTCTGGCCAGCGGGAAAACCTATCTATAATTGTAAAGCAATATGTGAAACCATTACTGGGCTGCAGAGGACCAACTATGTCCATGTGGACGTGGTCGAAACGCCCGTCAGGAACCGCAAACTGTGCAGGCTCTAGTTTAACGTGGCGTGAGGTCTTGCACTGTTGGCAGTCAGTGCAGTTACCCGCCCAAGTCGCGACGTCGCGATGTAGGTTCGGCCAGATATACCGCTGTCGGATGACGCGGGCTGTTACTTTAGCGCTCGGGTGCGCGGGGTCATGAAACAAGTCGAAGACCTGTCTTCTAAGAGATGCTGGAATGTAGGGCCTGATTGATTCCTCTGACAATTCGCAGTATAGCTCTGAATTGGAAGAACCCCAAATGAACTTTTTTAATTTAAGTGAGGACGAGTCTGAGACTAGCAAATGCTTTAATTCTTCATCCTCTTTTTGCCTAGCGGCGAGGTCTACTAATTCGAATTCGACCGGGAGGCGAAGAGCCTCGACACGAGATAGATTGTCAGCCACCACGTTCTCGGAACCTGCGAGATATTCAAACGCGGTGGTGAACTGCGCTATGTACGAGAGCTGACGTAGCTGCCTAGGAGAGGCTTTATCCGACCGTTGCTGAAAAGCATATACCAAAGGTTATGGTCCGTCATGACCTTAAAGTTACGACCCTCAAGGAAATGTCTGAAAAACTTTATCGATTCATAAATCGCGGTCAATTCGCGGTCGTACGCACTATAATTCCTCTGCGCCGGAGTAAACTTTCTAGAGAAAAAAGCTAATGGTCTCCACCCGTCAGAGGTATACTGCTCAAGGGCCCCACCCATAGAAAAGTCCGAAGCATCTGACACGACGCGAGTGTCGGCAGAATTGGACAGGTGTGCTAATAACGCGGCATTAGCAAGGTCGTCTTTGGCCTTGTCGAACGCGGTTTCGGCCTCGAGAGTCCAGTTAATTTCGCGTTTATCATTTTTACGCGAGTCGGTTAAATACGTGTGAAGGGGGGCTTGTACGCGAGCGGCGTGTCGAAGGCTGCGCCTATAAAAATTTAACGCGCCCAAAAAGCGACGTAGTTCCGCTACGGTCTTTGGCTTCGGGAGATCCCGTATGGCAGCCACTTTTTCCGGGGAGGGTTTCAGACCGAATTTATTCACGCGATGCCCGAGGAAGGTTAATTCCTCTACCCCGAAAACACATTTGGAAGGGTTGATAACTAACCCAGCTTCCTTGAGTTTTTGAAAGACGATGCTAAGATGCTTCCTATGCTCCTCCAGAGATGAAGACGCGATAAGAATATCATCTATGTAAGCAAAAGCGAAGTCAAGATCCCGTAGGGCATGATGGATGTATCACTGAAAAGTCTGCGCGGCGTTCCTTAGACCGAATGTCATGGAGACGAACTCGAAAAGACCGAACGGCGTTATGACAGCCGTCTTCGGTATATCGGCCTTCGCCATTGGAATCTGGTGGTAGGCCTTGAAGAGATCAAGGGAAGAGAAAATCGATCTACCCTGAAGATTAGAGGTAAAATCGTGCAGGTACGGTATCGGATACTTATCCGGAATTGTGACGGCATTCAAACGACGATAGTCGCCGCAAAGCCGCCAGTCACCGTTACCCTTACGGACGAGGTGGATTGGACTGGCCCAAGGACTGCTGGATGGCCTACAAATGCCTAACTCAGTCAGCCTTTTAATTTCAGCCTTCGCTGCCTTTAACTTATCGGGGGGTAACCGGCATGGTCGCTCAGCGACGGGAGAACCGTTAGTCGCGATGTGGTGTTCGACAGCACATGCGGCAGGCGAAAGCGCCTGACCGCTCCCGGTAACCTCAGGGAATCCCGAAAGTATGTCCGCAAATTTATTATCGTGACTGACCAAAGAAATTTTAGTTTCTGGTACAGCCAGTACTTGTCCGGCCGACGACAATGAGGTAACACTGTCGACCAGACGACGCTTGTGCAGGTTGACGACTAACTTATAGTGCGTCAACACGTCTGCACCGAGGATCGCAAAGGGCACGTTCGCTACGCGAAATTTCCACACGATAGGACGCCGCAAGCCTAGATCTAAAGTAAGAAGACGTTCGCCGAACGTATTAATCACAGTATTATTAGCTGCGAAAAGTTTTAATTCAGAAGGCGTATTTTTATCGCGCAGGGACGCTGGGAGTATAGATATCTCCGCGCCCGTATCAACCAAAAACCGTTGACCGGTAGTCCGATCAAAAACATGAAGACGGCTTTGTTTCTGCCCCGAATCCCCGACCGTCTCTTCGCGGGGAGAGCGGTTTAGTTTTCCGCCGCGTCATCTTTCCACGAGCAAGGCTTGCGGCAGGACGTGGCTTTCTTCCCGTATTTACGGTGAATGAAACAGTAGCCTGTCTCATCATCAGACTTATCTGCTTCATCACCACGCTTAGTCTTATTACGCGTACGGGATGTGGATCGTTCGCGTCGCATTTTCGCGAACGCGGTGCTCAAAGATTGCATCTGTTTAGTCAGTTTATCAAACCGCTCATCGACGCTCAACGGAGCTTTAGAGCGGGATTTTCTAGATTCTTTTGGCGCGACTACCGCGACTGCGGAACTAGGACTACTAATGTCCGCAAGTTTATCCGCGGTTTCTGCTAATTTCTGGGGGTCAGACTCGTTCATTGCGACCAAAATGGTCTTATGCGCTTCGGGCAACAACTCAAGAAAAAGAGATTTTATTACGGCAGGGCTGCATTGCCCGCCGTTGAATTGATTCATCTGACTTAGTAGATGAGAGGGTCTCCGGTCCCCCAGAACCTGACCTTTTAACAATTGCCGTAAGCGGGCCTCCGGTGAGACCGTAAATGTCGCGAGAATCCTGTCTTTGAGCGCTTTGTATAAGTTATCGGGCGGTGGATCCGCCTGAATCAAATCTCGGATATGCGATATGACCTCTGGATCGAGGCTAGCGATAAGGTAGTCGACTTTAGTACCATCGACGGTTATGTTCGCGTTTCTAAACGACGCTTCAACACGCAAAAACCAATCCTCCGGGGCCTGTCGCCAGAAGGGCGGGATCTTAGGCACCCGGTACGATTCTACGCGCGCGTCATCGTCCGGCATGTTTAAACTATGGGACGCGTACCGCGAACCGAGAAGAAATGAAAAAAAAGAAGAAAAGAAGCAAAGGAGGAATACCAGGGAGAGGCAAAGCATATGCCTCGACGGTCTCGAAGTTCTCGAAGAGGCGTCGTCCCTCGAAGGAGGTGTCGCTCGAACCCGCGATGTCCGCTGGTATGGCTGCGCAAGATGCGCGTCCGCAGGGATGGCTGCGTAAGCGCGAAAGCTGCGCTGGCACGGCAACGCCCGCCGGAATGGCTGCGCAGGATGCGCGTCCGCCGGGATTACTACGCCGGCACGAAGAAGTCCGTCGGGATGACTGCGCGGGATGCGCGTCCGCCGGGATGACTACGCCGGCACAAATCGTGCACCGACCTGGGTGCGCCCTTAACCTGGTTCGGCCGCGTCGTCGGAGATATCACAGGGCGGAATCCCGCCGACTTGAGTCCGTGGATGGAGAACGACCGATGTACGTCACCCAAAATGGCCTCCCTCGGGCGGTGATAGGCTCGCCCGAAGTTTCGGGAAGGCCCGAATAATGGACTTGCCCGGGCGTCGGTGATGCCACAATTTCGGGCAGTCCGAGGATCCTCAGGGCCGATAGGGCGTGGATGAGGTCCTCTTCGTGCTGCAGGTCAATCCCCAGAAAGCGGGGGAAAGGACCTGAGCCTCGCCGTTGATCTTTCTTCCGCCGATGCGAACGTGAAATGCGCGGATGCGCATCACGTCGGGGTCACCAATTGTGGGGCCTAGTCGATGTATTTACAGCCCGGCTGAAGTGCCCACAATACTTCCTTGCCGATAGCTGGTAGCGAAGGCGGGAATAATCCACTCACAATTACTGGAGATATATATGGACTTTATTGAGATCTCGGTACACGGTAAGGTGATCGGTCTTGACCGTGACACAGGCGAGTAACGACTAACATATTCTGTTCCCGCTCGGACAGCGCCACCGACGACCATAGACTGTGTCGTCGTATAGATGGGCAACTGCAAGTCGCCACATACTGACGAGGCATAGCGACATCTACCACTACCACGACAGTCTTTAGGTTGGCCCTACTGGTTTCCCCCGCCCCTTTTTCTTTTGGTTCCGAGCCTGGTTCCTAGGCTCTAGTCGGTTAGTCGTTCGTAGACCACGTCCTACGTAGCACATTAGAAGTTACGTGTACTTACACTCTCTGTATATCATCAAATATACGCCGTTTACACACAACTCACCCTTCTTATTTCAACAGATTATGAGACTTAATCTGTGCAGTGTGTGTTCGCTACGATAGACTTATATATGTTTTTCGGACATATAACGTGACGTGGCAGAACGGACAGTTTTTACTCGAACGTTGTTAAGTGAAAGTACAATGGCTGACGAAAGTCTGTCTAGAGATATTCGAGTGACGAAACTCTCAAAAGCAGCGTATAATCGCTGGAGGATTGAGATTCGGGATGCCCTCGAAAGTCATCGAATCTGGGAAGTCGCTAGCAATGTTACGGTCAAACCGGAAGAGACTAAAACGGACGACGGCGCAATCACTAATAAGAGAGAGATAGAAGATTGGAAGGTAAAGGACAGTAAAGCTCGTTCCATAATACGATCGACTCTAGATGATGCAACATTTGACCAGGTATGTGACTGTGAATCTTCGGCAGACATCATGAGGAGAATTAAAACTATTTATGAGCCAAAGACGCTAAACGTTTTGTTAGAACTGTTACGTGATTTCTTTGGTTACAACTGGAAACCGGATAGTACAGTCGGCACGTTTGTAGCTGGACTTAAGGTTATTGCTCGTCGCATTGAAGCACTAGAATCAGAAGACTTCGGAAGGAAGTTTAATGAAAAACTTCTGATGGCTAAAATTCTTGGATGTCTACCGAAAGATTTTGATAACTTTGTTACGTTGGTCACTTTTGTCTGAAGATGTATCACTGGAATTATTCTTGGAGAAACTTGCAGATGCGGAAAGAAACATTGCAGGTCGCCTGGATGAGACACCGAATGAGGTTTTCAAGGCACAATCTAAGCCAGTAAGCAGTCAATTCAAGAAAACCGTCGAAAGGAAGTTTCAGGGCAAATGTCACAAGTGTGGTAAAAAGGGACACATGCAGCGGGACTGTTGGTTGAAGGAGAAGTCAGAAATACCGGAAATCCATGATGAAAAGAAGAAAAAGTCAAAAGGTCACAAAGAAGAAAGTGGATTGACAGCATCTTCCGTTTTCAAATCTAGTAGCAAGGATTGCATTATTGCTGATTCAGGGGCAAGCGTTCATTTGACACGAAACATAGTGGTTCTCATCGCTGCGTAAACTCAACTCACCACTGATGTTAAATATTGCAAACGGTAAAGCTCTAAGAGCAACTCACGTCGGTAGCATTAAAATCGAGAAATCCGCTGATGGCAGAAAATGGGTAAACCGAATATGGGAGAACGTATATTACTCAGAGGACATGAGCAACGAGTCATTGTTTTCGACAACATTCATGGAGAGAACAAAAGGATATGGATTCTATCACGGGAATGGAGTCATGTGTCTGACAAATGGACCGAAAATAATACTGGGTGGAAAAAGAATTGGCAACTAGTATCTTCCGTTTATTCGAGTTAGGACACCAGAGGTTTCTGTAAAGACAGCTCAATCAATTGGATTGTGGCACCAAAGGCTTGGTCATGTAAGCGATGGAACGATACGAGCAATATCGAGAAACAATCTCACGGATGGACTCGAAGTAATTTTCACACAGAGGAATGATTGTGAAGCCTGCCATCTTGGAAAACAGACAGTTAGTTCGCATCCTACTCGGGGAAAGCGTGATTGTCTGCCAGGTCAACTTTTTCACTCAGATGTATGTCACATCGTGGAATAAATGCAAGTACTTTCTCGCACTCAAGGATGAAGCATCAGGTTATCGTAGAGTATTCTTCATGAAGTCAAAGGATGAAACTTCAAGTATACTGAGCCAGTTTTTCCTAGATGCAGAAAGAGAAACAGGAAGAAAAGCAATTTCTTTGAGAACGGACAACGGAACCGAATACGTAAATGAAAAGGTGAAAGAAGTTCTTAAGTCCATGGGCATTATTCACGAGTTATCACCACCCTATGTTAAACAATGTAATGGTATGGCGGAACGGGAAAACCGTACATTGTGTGACACTGCTCGATCACTATTGTTCAACACGGATCTGTCAAGGACGGATCGACATTTACTTTGGACAGAAGTTGTGGGGATAGCAGCATATCTTCGCAACTGAGTACCGAATCGAGGAATTGTTAGTACAACTCCGTACTACGAATGGTACAGAAAGAAACCAGAGGTATCTCACCTTCGAGTTTTTGGTGCAAAAGCTTTTGTACACATTCCGAATTCCATGAGGCAGAAGATGGATCCAAAGGCCAAGAAAACAATATTTGTCGGATATGATCAGTTGTCTAACAAAATTTATAGGGTATTTGATCCTATAAAGAAAGTCGTAGAAAGGGTATCTGACGTCATAATACAAGATATGGCAGATGTAAATAACCAAGTTCTGTTTCCTCTGCCAACAGTTGAACAAGAGGAGGATTTTGAAGAATCAACTGATGGATCAGTACATTCAAGGGATACCACAACCGAAGCCGATTCAGAGGACGAATTCTCGGATACGATGGATAAATTCACGGACGCAAGTGAAGAATTGTCGTCAACAAAGTTAGATAAAAAGAGAGGACGACCAATTGGCTCGAAAAATTTTCAAAAACCAGTTCCTGAAACGGACAGGGAATTGAGAAGCAGATCAAATAAACTGGAATGCATTACTGCAATGAGAGTTTCGATGGATCCAGTCTCCTATGAAGATGCAATCTCCAGAGAAGACAGTAGCCTCTGGAAAAAGGCAATGGATGAGGAAATGTCATCATTAATAAGGAATACAGCCTGGAAGATGGAAAAGTTGCCGAAGGATCGATCCGCAGTGACGTGTCGCTGGGTTATTAAATCAAAGCTAAAACCTGATGGGACAATTGATCGCTACAAAGCAAGGTTAGTTGCTAGAGGCTTTAATCAGACAAAAGGGATTGATTACTTCGAAACTTTCTCGCCTGTGGTTCGATAGGAATGTGAGGATCGTATTGGCAGTAGTGGCCAAATATGATATGGAAATGATACAATTTGATATCAAAACAGCATTTCTTAATGGTCCACTAAAGGAAGATATTTACATGTATCAACCACAAGGATATGAGGATAAAACTGACCATGTTTATCACTTGCAGAAAGGTCTTTACGGACTAAAGCAGTCATCAAGAAATTGGAACACTCTTTTCAATGAATTTGCGATAGAGCATGGGCTGACGCAATCGGAATTTGATCCATGCATTTTTATAAAGGATACCAACACGGAAAATTGGATGATTCTATGCTTGTATGTCGATGACGGACTGGTGGCATGTAGAAACAAGAAATTATTGAAAAGTTTCGTTTCATCATTAAGGCGGAAGTTTGAGATCACATGTCATGAGCCGTCATGCTACGTTGGAATGGAAATTCAGCGTGATCGAAAGAGAAAAACAGTCTCCATTAACCAGCAGGGATATACTATATCTCGTATGTTACGAAAATTTGGGATGGAGAATAGAGCTTACTATTGGATACGTGTTTTAAGATTCACGTGTACACGTGATCCGTGTACACGGATTCACGGTACCTTTATTCACGTGTACCTGTGTCCGTGACACGTGTACACGTGTAGTCGTGTACGTGACACGTGTACACGTGTAGTCGTGTATGTGAGACGTGTACACGTGTAGTCGTGTATGTGACACGTGTATTCGAATGTCCGTGTATGCGCAACCTCTATTAAAAAAAGTTTTGACCATAAAAAAAGCATTATTTGCAAATTATCAAAATTTGATGAAAGATCTCTATTTCTGCATATGTTGTTCGACATACGTATACGCATAATTCCAGCATTCCAAGTTTTATCCAGATTTTGTCACATAATTTCATTCACACAACATTCTCTAAATATTTCCCTATCACGAGACACGGTAGTGTCTCGCGCCAAGTGTAAGCGAAGCTAGTACACGCGCGCGAGACCGACCGTGTAAGTTTACGCGAGTACACGACTTGACGGGCCCCCAGATTTTTTTTTCTCAACAATGGCTGATCCCACGAACTTGAGACTACGCTTAATCGATAGCTTGGGTACGATTTGTATAATAAAACTATTTTGACTTTTTTCCTACGTGCCCCATGAGTAGAGATATTGCAATGCAAAGTCCAAAAGTCTGAATTTTCACGTAATTTTTATTAAGAAACATCGTCATCGTGGTCGTCGTGGTCAACCAGGCCAAAGTCCATCTCACTTTTCTGCCGCAACGTGGAATTGGCGCTGCTGTCGCGTATCTCACGTAGCGTCTCGCGCCAAGTTTGAATAAGTCTAGGGGTGCATTCCGAGTTGCGCATGAAACGCATAGACTGCTTTACTGTTGCGCAGCACAGGAAATCGTTCCGTTTTGTCAATGCGCATGAAGCGCTTTTAGTATTCGGAACGATTTCCTGTGCAGTCTGCGCGCTAAGCACCTTGAAAATGGACGCCATGCAAACCATCAACAAACGATTTCCAAATGTAGCATTAAGACTATAATATATTACACCCAATGTTCCATATGCTTCTACTGGCATAGTTTTAGTGGTATTATATACCAATAAACCAATATATTATACAAATATAAACTTACACAACTAATATCTAACCTATACATTAAATAAATTAAGTTAAAAGAATACATTAATATTACCTTGGGATGCTCTCTCCATATCATCTTTTGTTAAAAGTAACGTTACCACGTTAGTCTCGTCTATTAACACTCATGGGAATTCATGTAATTCCATCGTCATGAAAGTTTTTTCCTTGGTCGTTCTTCTGATGCGTTCCAATGCGTTTCAAGTTAAGCATAAAGCGCATAAACTGCATGAACGCATCAGACGCATCAGACAGTGAATTTTCAGCGCTACCAAAGCGCTATCAATGCGCGCATTAGTTAAATCGGAACGACTTTCTATGCAGTCTGTGCGCTTCATGCGCAACTCGGAACGCACCCCTAGACACCGACAGCTACGGTATTAATACACCTAGGGTGCGTTCCGAGTTGCGCATGAAGCGCACAGACTGCATAGAAAGTCGTTCTGATTTAACTAATGCGCGCATTGATAGCGCTTTGGTAGCGCTGAAAATTCACTAGATTATACTAACCGTACTGAATTCTTAGCACTCCTCCCAGCGCATTGACTGCTTCTATTTTGACTTGAGGCAGTTGATGCGTCTGATGCGTTCATGCAGTTTATGCGCTTTATGCTTAACTTGAAACGCATTGGAACGCATCAGAAGAACGACCAAGGAAAAAACTTTCATGACGATGGAATTACATGAATTCCCATGAGTGTTAATAGACGAGACTAACGTGGTAACGTTACTTTTAACAAAAGATGATATGGAGAGAGCATCCCAAGGTAATATTAATGTATTCTTTTAACTTAATTTATTTAATGTATAGGTTAGATATTAGTTGTGTAAGTTTATATTTGTATAATATATTGGTTTATTGGTATACAGGGTGATTCAAAATAGGTATAGTGTCCCTGAAATGTCGTATTCCTGATTAAATTCTAAGACGATTTTTCTCTTACCAAAATGTTCTCCGAAGTTTAGTTTTT